GGGCCGGGGGCTGACCCACCCCCCGCTCCGCCTCCCCCCAGCTGGGGTCTCACTATCACTGAGCAGCTGCTCCTTGCTCATCTCCAGCGTGCGGATCTCCCGGGCCAGTCTCCGCCCCAGCATCTGCGAGGACAGAGAGGAGGCCTGTTCGTCTGCATCCCGGCTACACCGCACGCTCCCTGCTTCCCCTCCCCCCAAACCTTTGCTCTTCTGCAAAGTCCTTACCTGTATTAGGCCATTCATTCATTCAACTATTAACTCAGTGTGCAGTTTCTGCTGTGGCTGGAGACCTATTTCCCCCCAATCGCTCTCCATGTCCCCGTGTACCTCTGAAACTTTTCTTCCCACTTTCCTCATCCTTCATTCTCCCATTTGCTGTTCCTCAAAAGTTCCAGGCACAGTTCAGCCTCAGGGCCTTGGCATTGGCCTTTCCTTCTTCTAGGAACACTTGCCCTCAGTTACCTGCATGGTTTCTTCCCTCACTTCCTTCACATGTGCATTCAGATGTCACCTGCTCATAGAACCTCCTCATTGACATTGCACCACCTACCTATTTTCTTGGTTGGAGCCTGGGTTTGCCTCCCCCTGTCCCCAACCAGCTTGGGACAGCAAAGACCTGGCTCCTTTGGTTCAACACTGTCTCTCCCTGCCTGCAATGCTGCCTGGTGCACAAGTGGACATTAGTTGAATGAAGGAGTGACCTGACCATGGCTTTCTCAGGGTTCCCACTTGCCATTGCAAGGTGACCACACCCTAGGTTAGCAGGAGGGAAGCAGGATCAGCAATGGCTAGTGCAATAGTCTGAACAAGCCATGCTGGGAGTGGCAGTGGGGGATGGTGAAAAGTGGCCAGATCTGAGGTAAAAAACAAGGGATTGAGTAGGCGGGCTAGAGGAAGAAAGGAGTCAAGGACAATCCCATGGCACTGGGCCTGAGCAGGGCTGGACACTGGGCCAGTCTCAGGGGAGGAGTGGCTTTGGTTGTAGGCAATGACAATGGCTCACGTGGAATTCCCAGAGGTTCTTGTGCTGGCCCATCAGATCCTCCAGTTGTTCTTCAACATCCAACCTGGGGGTTGATACCCAGGAATGAGAGAACACAGGCTAGCCCTGACACCCAGCCCAACCAGCTCTGAGGCTCCTCATGCACAGTCTTTCACATCCTTGCCTGGTGCTCTCTCTGCTGGGAGCCCCTTCAGGGGTTTTATCCTCCAAGCCTTGGTTCTAACAGTTTACTCTTCCAACAAACTCTCCTTGATGTAAGCCCCACTCCCACTCTCCACCCAGTGGTCGGGCAGGCCCCCAGGTTGGGAGTTACCCCAGCTTCCTCTGCTTGCAATTCTCTGCGATCTGAGAGTTATGGACAGAAATTTGCTCCACGCACTCCTGCAACATGTGCTTCCTGGGAAAGGAAAGACAAGCCTCAGTCATACTCTTGGAATGAACCCCGCTTCCTCTAGCAGGGGTGAGTGTGAGGGGTGGGGTCTGTTAACAACATTCACCCTTCTCCTTTCTTCTGTTGAATGTGACCCTTTATGGGCCTCTGTCAAGACCATCATCCGGTCCATCCTGTCCACCACTGAACTGGCCTTCCCAAGAAAGCTTTGTGAGGGGTGCAGTCATCACCCGGTCCATCCTGTCCACCACTGAACTGGCCTTCCCAAGAAAGCTTTGTGAGGGGTGCAGTCGCTTAGCATCATGGATTCCAAAAGTCATGGCTTGAAGCTTGGATCTGCTACTTCACTGTGACCCTGGTCAAGTTACTTAAACTCTCTGGGTCTCAGTTTCCACATATGTAAAATGGTCATAGTGGTGGGAGGGTGACATTAACCCTTAACTCCTGTAATTGTCATTGTGAGGATTAGGTAAATAAATGAACATAAATGCTCATTGGACAGTGTGTGTAGTGTGGTTAAGCATACACTCACATTAACTATCTATCAGGTTTCCCCATGCAATTAAAGTCATGGTGCAATAGTACGTGACATCTCTGGTCACAGGAATGTGGTAAGTAAAGGTTCACAGGATGTAGACATGGACGGATAGATGGTTGAATGGGCAGTTAATTGGATGGATGAGTGGCTGGCTGGAGAGATGATAGCTGGTTAGAGAAATAATGATGATGGTTGGATAAAGAAATAAAGAAAGAATTGCTGGGAGGATGGATAGATGTCTGGATGGATGGTTGGGTGAAGAAATTAATGGCTAGATGAATGGAAGGATGAAGAGAGGATAAATGCATGGTTGGATGAATGGAAGATGATTAGATGGAAATTTGGAGATACGATGGCTCATGGTTGTCTGGCTGGATAGTTGGATAGATGTATAGGTGGATGAACAGATGAGTGGGTGAGTGGGTAGATGGGTAGGTAGATGGTTGGGAAGGTAAATGGATGACTGAGGGCCTAAAATAAGCAGACAGATAAACAAATGAATGGATGGCAGAGGAACTGGATGGCCAACAGAGAAAGACTTAGAATGTAACAGCAATGAACGGAATTTCTTTGATAAATTAGCATTAAATGGTTAAACAAGTGAGTTAATCTTAACATCACCACCTAATATCAAAGACGACCAGGGCAGTCTTTTGTCTGGTTACTCTATTTTATAGAAAGAGAAAATGAAGAGTGGTATCCAAGATTTTTTTCCCTGAGCTCGCTCCCTCCTCCTTCAGGCTGGGGAATGAGATGGGAAAGAGCCAGAGCAGGACCTCTTACTTGTGATCCTCACTTTCCTTCTTTTGGCAGTACAGCTGGAGGATCCTCAGTGCCTCTGTCGGGAGAAGAACCAAGGGGGCCTTGTGAGAGCTTGGGGAGTCAGGCTTGGGCAGAGGTAATGGGCCCGACATTATGTCAGGCATTGGAGAGCACTGAGAGGTCTTGGGTGCTTACTTCAAGTGAGGAGGCAACCAAGGGAGAGATGTGAACAGAGAGGGAAGCACTCTAACTCAGGTTTCAGTGGGATTCCTCTGGCTGCTCCAGATACTTTGGACTTTTGTGGGGTAGCGGGGTAGGATAAGGAATACACAGCAACTGGCAAATACCTTGCTTTTTTCTCAAGACCTCCTCCAGGTGCACTTTTTCTTCATTCACTGGAAAACACAATGACACTTTCAGCCCCCAGGAGCCACATCCTGTGCCCCACTGCAACTTCATGCAAGGGGCAAAGCCACACAGAAGGTGTGGTACAGTTCCAGGAGAGGCGAGGTGTCTTGTTGCCACCCCCACACCCATCTACCACGGGGACTTTCCTAATCCACCTTCTCCTACTCTGTGCTCACATTTCCTGTGTCAAAGGAGTGAAGACTGTAAAGAATGTACCATAAGGAATGGACACTGAGGGGAGAGATGACTACAAAGAGATAAATACACCATGTCAGGAGGAAATAAAGGCTCTGAAGAAACAAATCAAGTAGGAGAATGAGAGAGAGAGGTTGGGATTCTACTTTCAGATGGGACCACCTGACAGGAAGTCCTGTCAGGGTGAAGTTGAGTTGCGAACTGAAAGATGACATGAGATGGCAAGAGGCAATCTGGCCTATGTGAGCTGAAAGCACTGCAGGCAAAGGAACAGCCTGTGCAAGTGCCCTGAGGTGTGCGCAGGAACAGCAGCAGTGATCGTGGGATCTCTGGGTCCTTCTTTGGGCCCCACTTACAGGAGTCTAATTCTCTGTGCAGAGCTTCCCAGAGAGCTTGGTCCTCTCCCAGTTTCTCACCGGATTCCTCCTTTGCTGGGCCTAAGAAGGAAAGAAGACCCTGTGTGAGTGGAGCCTCTAGCCTTGTTCTTTTGAAGACTGTGACTCTGCACAATCATCTTCAAACAGCCCCAGAGGGGCCTGGATTTTATGAATGAGGAAATGGAGGCATTCATAGTTCAGGCCCTTCCTGCTGACCACAGCTGGCCAGTCTAGGCTCCCAAGTTTACCTTGCTGAAGCTCATTAATCCGGTTAATCAGCTCCTCAATCTGTGGCTCCAGGCTTCCTTCTGAAGAAAGAAAGAAAGATTGAGCCAGAGAAGACAGATGCCTTACTGTCCAAGGCAGATGGAGGAGTGGTATGTTCTGGCACTGTCTCTGCTGCTGTAAATCAGCAGGTATTTATTGAGCACCTGCTGTGTGTTGGACTCTGTAAGAAGCCCTTGCAGGGCTTGCAGACTGGGTGGGGGTGTTCTGGCACTGTCTCTGCTGCTGTAAATCAGCAGGTATTTATTAAGCACCTGCTGTGTGTTGGACTCTGTAAGAAGCCCTTGCAGGGCTTGCAGACTGGGTGGGGGAGGTGGACATTGAACAGAGATATACAAATCAATCCAGATGGCAATAACTGCTGTGAAGAGAAATCAAGTGAGGCAAAGATGCTGAAGATAAAAAGGTAAAAGGTACTTCTTGAAATACAGAAAGGACCCCCATCAAGTGAGAGAAGCAGGCGCTGCAGTTCCATAGGGGTGGAAAGTGTGGAAGTGAGACCATTCCAGGCAGACAGTACAAGTTCCCTGTAATGGGAGTGGGTGAGGCATGAGGCATGAGACCAAAGTAATGGTGAGGAGCTGGTGTGGCTCTATTCTAGTGAGGAAGTGGAGAGTAGCAGGAGGTGAGGTGTGGGAGGGGGAAGTGAGATCACTCAGGGCCTCTTGGGCCACAATTATTTTCCAGATATAATTCTGAGTGTTGTGGGAGCCAAAGGAGACCTTCCGCCTGCTCTACCCTGTTAAAAACCAGAAAGGGCAAGTTGTCATTTCTATCAATCTGGATTGTGGTATTGACCTCATTTGAGAAAAGGGGTAAATGCTGCTTTCATGTTGCAGGTGACAATTTGCAAACTCCCCAGTGAGAGGGGAGATCACTGACCCTTTAGAGAGTCATCTCCAACTTCTCACAGTCCCTACATCAGCACTTTGTACAGAGAAGCTTTCTTTCTCATCTCTTTCTGGCTTCAAAGTTGGCAACACAGAGCTGGAGCAAAAAGCTGCCTGATCCTTGCTGGGTCTCACTGCCAATTCCTAAGGCCTTCTGGAGTTAATAGGTGCAGGCCCTGGATTTTCTAAGGTCACCAACTCCAGCTCCTGTGACTTCCAGGAGAATGGATACTGTCCGTGGTGCTGATTACTATGGCCAGAAATCCTGGGGGTCCGTTTTTTTTTTTTTTACTGGAGATAGTCAAGCTGGGTCACTACACATTTCCCACTCTGCGATTTCTCTACCTAATCCTAGCTTAGGCAGCAGCCCCAATGCACTTCTTCCATATGCAGGTGCAGAGTCAGGAAGGGGGTGTTCCCTTGTGTTTGGAACAACCAATCAATGGATTATAGCATTTTAAGCTGAGGATGGGCTGTGGCTCAAACCTCAAACCTGACCAGCATTCTGCCTAGCCCTAATGTAGGTACTGAATGCAATCTGACTCCCAGGTTCTTCTCCACAAGCAAAACAAGGTGCAGAGCTGTCTACATTGCCATTTGTTGTTTGTATATGACCAAGAAGGACAAAGAATACACACCCACGGATATATTTTTTAAAAATCTCTGGCAAGATACATAAGAATTTAAAAGCAGTTGCTGCCTGCCTGTGGGCTAGGGAAATGGACGACTGGTGTGTGTGTGTGTGTGTGTGTGTGTGTGTGTGTGTGTGTGTGTGTAAATGGACGACTGGTGTGTGTGTGTGTGTAGGCAGGGGTAGCTCTTTACATCCTCTTAAGCTTCTTGAATTTTGAACTGTGGAGGTATATTTATGGTTCAAAGAATTAAATTGTATGAGAGGGGAAAAGTGCAGTGGGATAATTTCTCAAGGCTGTGAGTTGAGGGGGCTGGGTTGGAGCCACCCTGTCTGACTGAAAGCCCCAGGCCCCAGGTTGGGGCTCAGACACAAGAAGACACATGACCTTTCTGTAGCTTTTTCACCATTGCCAGCAAATCTTCAGTCTTCTTCAAAGACTTGTCCTGCCCTGATTCTCACTGCCTTTCCCAAATATAATCACCATTAACAGGTTGGTAGGTCTCCTCCTGAGACTTTTTAATTTTAAAATTATTCTTAATATTTGGAAATGAAACAAAAAAATTAAAGCTACTTTAAGTAGAAGTATCTATGATTATTTAAAAAAATATTTTATAATAAAAAATTTCAAATGCATATGAGAGTAAAGAGGATACTATAATGAACTCTGATGTACTCATCACCCATATGTAACAATCATTAATATCACTCATATTTGCTGTTTTTCCTGTATTGAAGTGTTTTCAAGTAAGCCCCAGCCGTCTTGACATTTCATTCCCAGATACTTAATTAAGCATCTCAACTACTTAAGAACTTTTTCTTAGATGGCCCCAATCCTATAATCACATATGACAAGATTAATAATCATCACGTGATATCATCTAACTCAGACCATATGTCATTTTCCCTGATTGTCCCCACATGTCTTTTACAGCTGGATTTTGCAACCATTTCTACAAAAGCTCCACCTGTGTTTTTCACTGCTTATTCTTCACTGTTTTTCTAGTGCTAGTCATGAGTTAAGGCCAAAAGTGGATTATAACTAAATTTTTAAATAATCCAACTAACCTCTTGATCATTTCTTTTAAAATTGTATGTTACAAAAGAAAACAGCTTAGAGAGTATGAGCCTCCTTTTAAACATTTTATTTTGAAATAATTTCTGATGTACACAAAAGTTGTACAAAGAGGCCACAGGGCTCCCATTTGCCCTTGTTATCAGATTCCCCATTTGTGAGTGTTGCTGAACTATAAGCTGCAGACATCATGGCCCATTACTCCTTAATATTCCAGTGCATATTTCTTTTACACAAAGGGAATCTACCAGGTAACTGCAGTATAACTATCAAAACTTGGATGTTAATATTGATCCAATATTAATATGATTCTCAGACGCCATTCAAATTTTCCCCTTATATTTTAAAATTATAGTACTTTCTTTCTAAAAGAAAAAAATAAAACAATAAATCACAAAAAACCTTCACCCCTGCACCACGCCCCAAATCCAAGACTCTTGTTCAAAGTTATCAGGCTTTCAGCCTTCAGACATTTTTCTGTGCATCACTCACAGGGCTGTACTTGACAACCCTCTTTTTGTTTCAATCGCAACTGGCTTTTTGCTACTAAAAATGTGATCTTTTGGAGCTCATTCTGTATCAATAAATAATAAAATTATCCATTTAAAATTTAATTTAAATTAATTTAAATAATTTAATTTAATTTAATTGTAATTTAATTTTAGCTATTTTTTTCTGACTTTAAAAAAAAAAATCACTGCCCAGGAATTCCATGGCATGCATAGATATACCAAGATTTAGCTATTTCTGTCACTATTCCTTGTTTTGCTTCCATCAACAACACTCCAATGACCACTCCTGGTCCACGCACCTGTGTATTCTTCGGTGATTACCTAGCTTGGTGACTGCAGATGTGGAATAGCATTTTAGATGCTAAAAATATTCTACCAAACTGCCTCTAGCAAAGGCTTTATTGGTCAGTTCTCCTCCCAGTGAGGCAGAAGGCCTGTTTCTCCAAAGGGACATCAATACTAGATATATATGTATATTTTTCAGTACTAGATATCCCTCCCTTTATAAAGCCAATTTAATGGGTTGGTAATGGTAACTTGATTTAATTTTCTCCATTGCTGATAAAGTTAATCATAACTTCAATTTTGAGGAATTTGAAAGGTTGATACTAATTTTTTTTTAAATCACAGTAGCAGCTATATTAAATGCCTAATAAATGGAACCTATTTGCATCTGTCTTATTTCCGTCTGTTCTTTGTTGAAAGCTGAAACTCAATGTATGTCTAATCTAAGAGAGTGCTCTGTGTTAACAATATTTCATTATTCACGCGCTAAAAAAATTACTGAGCACCTATTGTACGCTGGGCAGGCATCGTTTTAGGTGCTGGGGAAACAGCAGTAAAAGCCTCTGTTCTCGTGGAGCTCATATCCTAGGACAAACGATAAACAACTAAATGATCGCTATTTTGATGTCTGCATAAGCAGGTCTGACAGGCTGCAATCTAATGTTAATAAATATAGTGGCTCGAAGAGAGTGCAGAAAGGGGAGTTAGGGATAGATAAAAGAATGGTAGACGGTCAACAACTGTTGAAGCAGAGTGATGTGCACATGGGTGCTAATGATGCTATTTTCTCTACTTTGGTACATTGTGAAAGTTTGTTCAATAGGAAAATGCTAGTGGATTACTGCCTTGGGAGATTTTTCTTTTGGCTGGACTGCAATTTCCAATAGTCCGTAGGCTGAGTCTTACCCTCGCCCCCCCCCGCCCCCCCATTAGGGGATGAGGTGTCATTACTCAAGTCAGTGCCCTGGAAGAAAGTTGTCCCTAGGGAAGGTTATTTTCTATTAAGAAATTTAGAGCCCACACAGTGTGATATGGGCTGGACGTGAGATGACGATATTAGGGAAACTGCTGTGAATTTTTTTAGGGGTGGAAGCAACAGGGTGATTTTTGTGAGAACATCTCTTCCTCCCTTTTTGTTTGAAGAGATGCACATTGAACAATATGATTACTTTAAAATACTTAAGAAATATATTCAGAACAAAGTTGACAAGAGTTAATCTAGGTGATGAGAATGTGTGTTATTTATCTCAACTTTGTTGAACTTTTGAGTGATAAAAGGTTTAAAACTTAAAAAAAAAAAAAAAAACTACTGCTATTATTATTTCATTAACGTTTTGGGACGAATCCTCCCCCCACCTTCTGCCCTGGTAGACAGAGGCACACACCCCTTGCCCTCGCTACCTCCAGTCTCCTCCACAGTGTCCGGCGACTCCACGCTCACTACTGCTATTATTATTTCATTAACGTTTTGGGACGAATCCTCCCCCCACCTTCTGCCCTGGTAGACAGAGACACACACCCCTTGCCCTCGCTACCTCCAGTCTCCTCCACAGTGTCCGGCGACTCCACGCTCAAAGGCTCCATCTTCCCCGCCATTTTCTAGAGCTGAGCTTGCGCGCACCCCTCGGTCGAGGATTGGCTAAAACCCAAGGCCTCACAGGAGGGCGGGCGGCTCTGCAGCGCGCATGCGTGTGGCGCACGTTTTCACGCCACTTGACCGGGGAGGAGGAATCAGGTGTCTATGCTGGACAAGCACGGGATATCTGGTGCTTCGGCTCGACAGTGCAAGTGCGTACTACCACAAGGCCACAACTCCAGTTAAAACAAGGGCAGAACTAGGGTTATCGGCCAGTTGGAGAGTGAGTCTTGTGCACACACATACAAAACTCTAGAGAGGTCTCTCCCTCTTTAGGTTGTTTGTACAGGTTGTCAAATTCTTCGAGAAATGTGCATGTGCTGTGTGGTGGTACACAAGATTTCGAGCCCCCTGTCGTTCACAAATCTTCATTAAAGAGCCTATTAGACAAAGTTAGTTATCTCCCTTTCACGGATGAGTACAATGAGACTTAGAAGCTAAGTGCACCTCCTATGTAAACATTTTGGATCCCAGCCACTGTGTGAAGTCAGGTGCTACATGCCCTGGGTTATACGGGTAGACAAGGGAGGCCATCTTATTAATAGTAGCAGCAGCCAACATTGACGGGGGTCATTTTGGGCAGAGTAAAGATGAACAGAAGTACATGAAGCGCATAGGGATATCCTTGTGGGGCTCGGTTTTTTTCTTTTTTTAAATCCCCTCAGGCCGGTTCCATGCACAGACTACCCCTGCATTCCCAATTCCAGAACCCCTGTGGGTCACTCTAGAAACCTTGGTCAGCCCTGGGCACTCAGGACTAAGATTCCATGGAAGGAGGCAGACCCCTGAGGCAGGTTTGGAGGGGACAGCCCCTGCCAGAGGCTCGACATCATCCAAGTGGAAGAGGTACGGCAGAGGGAGGGAAGGGGGAGGCCTAAGGATTTCCCCAGAGGTGGAGGTGCATGAGGGGGTTGGGAGCGCAGCCTGCTCATCTGGCTGCTGCAACCCATCTCCCATTTGTGGACAGGACCTCAGATCTTCCCCCATTGCCGGGGAGACAGGGATCAGTCACAGACACACCCCCACCTCCATTTCCAGGGTGAAAAAAGAAGGTAAAAGCCAAAGGTGGTCACTCCCAGCACTGTCTGGTCTGGGAGCTCTGCCTCTCAGAGTCCAGTGAACAAGCCATTGTGGGGAGCTTGGTCCGCAGAGGCAGCTGGGGGTGTGGAGTACTTGGGTGGGTAACGAATGAAGAGCCGGTCTTCCTCCTTCCTCACCCAGCGCAGGAGTTTGGTCACTACCAAGATGGCACCTGCTTTGGTCACCAGGGGGCTGAGGCAGGTATAGAGCTCAAATTTGGAGGTCACCTGGGAATTTGAGAGAAGACAGAATCAGATGGGCTGGAGCTGGCCATGGACAATCCTGTCTGACCCAGCCCAATGTCTCCCTCCCGCAGCTTGGAAGATGTACCTAGCAGCAACTCCCACCTGGTGCTGCCTGGGCATTGGGTTAGGGCAGGTAAGCTGATATTATTGTATCATGGGTTGGCCAGGGGTTCTCAGTTGGGCCTAGGGGTCAGACAGACCTAGTGGTTTCAACTGGGCAATGCTGGCTGTGTATCCTCTGGACCTGTTTGCTCACCTGTGGACTGGGGATAACAACAACAATGCTTACCATTCAGTGAGCAATGATTATACACAATGTCCTCTTCTAAATTCACACAACTGTTTTCATCATCTATAGCCTGGGCATGATATAAAGAGGAACTCACACCAACCTGAGCAAAATGACCTCACCAGGTTACCAGCACCTTTCCTGTGCCACCTCCCAATGTCCTCCTCTTTGCTCCCTCTGTTCCATCCACTTTAGCCTTTCCTTGGTGTTCCTCAAAACACAGCCAGGCCCAGTCCCACTTCACAGCATTTGCAGAGTCCTTTCCCTCTGCCAGGTATACTCTTCCTACAGATACCCACATGGCCTCCCCTCTCCACTTAGATGCCATCTCCTTAGGGAGGCCTCCCCTCACCACCTGATTTAAAATCCTGTGCCTACCATATCTTAGTTTTTAAATAACAATCTCCATTAAATGGTACAAGGGCTCCTTGGAAAAATGGCCAAGTCCAAAACTGGCAGAGAGAAAGTAAAATAAGAAGTGCTCACACAGTGATGGGGATGTGTCAAAGGGACACAGAGACCAGCCTAGCTAGATGAAGGCTCCCGCTGGCTAAATCAGAGACAATTGGAGCACCAAAATAAATTCTAGAAAAGGATTTTAGCCCATTGAATTAAAGAAACATTTTATTGATATAAAATTTTAAATTCCACAAATTAATAGGAAAATAAAAAGTTCTTCCTTACAATAAAATCCCAACCAATAAGTGTAGAAAGTGTGATGGAGTTAGAAAAATCTCCATCTGATAAACACCAGATTAATAACTGTTGCAGGTTAGAATCATGAATGGATATTAGAATTAGTGGGTGAAAGTATGATGAAAAACAAAACACAGAACACAGACATCATCACCATGAGATATTTACTAATTACAAAGGAGAAAATACTAACTTTGTAGTGGAGAAATGTGGCAGACCACCTTAACTAAGTGATCAAAACTGACATCGACATCGGGAAAGACTGACATCACGTGCCTCCTGATACGATGCAGAGAAGGGCACAACATCACTTCTCTGATTCTTGCCAAAAATGCACGACCTCAATTTAGTCACGGTATAACATTAGAAGAACTCAAGTGGAAGGATATTCTAACAAGCTAACTGGCTGATACTCTTTAAAAGTTCTAGAATAAACAAGACTAGGGAGACACAATAAATAAATCCAACATGTGATCCTGGACTGGATTCTGTGGTATAACATTAGAAGAACTCAAGTGGAAGGATATTCTAACAAGCTAACTGGCTGATACTCTTTAAAAGTTCTAAAATAAACAAGACTAGGGAGACACAATAAATAAATCCAACATGTGATCCTGGACTGGATTCTGGACCAGTAAAAGTACCTAAGTGGGACAATTTGGACCAGTAAAAGTACCTAAGTGGGACAATTTGTGGAATCTGAAGTCTGTGGATTAAATGTTACTGTGCCAATGTTAATTTCCTGATTTGTTAAGTTACTGTGGTTATATAAGATGTTAATCTTTGGAGAAACTAGGTGAAGGGCCTCTTTATAATTATTCCTTGTACTATTCTTGCAACTTCTAAAATTACTTGAAAAGTTAAAATAGTTTAAAAATATGTTAAGTTACTGTGGTTATATAAGATGTTAATCTTTGGAGAAACTAGGTGAAGGGCCTCTTTATAATAATTCCTTGTACTATTCTTGCAACTTCTAAAATTACTTGAAAAGTTAAAATAGTTTAAAAATAAAATCCTCAGCCTAGAATAATACATGATACACGACAGACATGCAGTAAATTACTTAATAAATGAGCACTAAATGGCAGAGCCTGGGGGAAGGTGCCATTTCCAATGGGGTCACCTTGGCTGGCTTCCCTGAATAGCTGAACTTTAACAGACCCACAGGAAGTAAGGGTGAAAGCCTAGAAATCCCAGGGAAGGATACCGCAGGTAGAGGGCACAGCTTGGGACCAGCCTGTAGCACTCAAAGAGTGCTGGAGACCCAGAGTCAAAACTGAGCTGGTGACTAATGGGGTCCATGCAAACACATGGGAAGGGCTAATGAGGAATCAGCAGGCATAGTGATGGCTGTTAATGGGGTCTCTTGAAAATCAAAGACACCATCCTGGTTGCTAACAGGGTAAAAGCAAACAGAAGGATGGGGCTAATTGAGAGTTGGAGACACTGTGATTAATCCTTATGGATTTCAAAGGTGCATGTGTAAAGGTAGGGACAGTATTGCAGGCAAGGAATAGCCCAGGCAAAGGCTTGGTGTGCTTGATGGAAGCTGCTTTGGCTGGAGGGGATACAGTGTAAGGAAACCTTAAGTGGGGAACTGATTCACCCAGGGCCCTACTTAACTCACCCAAGCCAGCAGCGTCTCCTTCTCAGCCACGTGGTAAATGAGACGCAGGGGTCGGGAGGTGCTGTGGAGGCGAGCATGCAGGCGGTGGTACAGGTCTGACAGCCGCTGCCGCTCCTCCTCTCTGCTGTACGGGGCCTCTAGCTCAGGGCTGCCATCATGGGGGGAAGGCGGAGAGCAAGGTTAGTCCAGGGCCTTCTCAGCTGGCCCATCTCCTCTCTCAGTCTAGGGATTTCAATTAAGTTAAGCAGCCGAGCCTCCCCTTTAGACTTGAGGATTCTCAGTGGCTGGAGGCTGAGCTTCCCGGATCAAATTAGGAAATTCCCTGAGTACTGGGAGCTGCCTCTCCACTGGAATAGGGGGATTCCTGTAAGTTGGTGCTTGAGCCTCCATCCTCAGACCTGTTCTATTCTCTCTAGGAAATTCCCTGAGTACTGGGAGCTGCCTCTCCACTAGAATAGGGGGATTCCTGTAAGTTGGTGCTTGAGCCTCCATCCTCAGACCTGTTCTATTCTCTCTGTTTAGAGCATGGCTGGTCATCTCCCTTGAGTCATGTCTATGTGATGCTGATCCTCCTTAGTTAGACAAGACTTCCCACCTGGCCAATTGCCCTTAGGGTCAAGACCTACCTGGTAAACTGAGGCAGCTGGCGGTGGTGGTCAGGGATGTCCAGGGGCTTATAGAGGAAGTGCCGGAGGCCGGGCGCTCCCACAGCCTGCACACTGTAAGCAGGGGAATTGGTTGATGGGGCATTAGAGAAGCTGGCAGCCTCGCCAAGGGCACGCATGGCACCAAGGGCACGCATCCCATCTTCTACCAGGCGCCGGCAGGCGGCCATGGCATGGAACGCTTCACGGTGGGTGCCAAGCAGCAGCAGGCAGACAGGCATGGCATCCAGGCGGGCGACGTAGGCATAGAAAAAACCATCAGGGTTGAATCGGGGCAGGCACACGGGTGCCCATGCCTCACCCGCTGCAAAGGCCGGTGCGCGCACCCAGTCGAGCAGCAATTGCAGGTCAGCTGGGTCCAGCCGACACTCAGCCAGCACATTCCGCTCCTGGGCCGCTGTTATCAATCGACCACCGACCGCCAGTACCGACAGTGCCAGGCCCGGTGCTGTGCAACGTCGGAGCAGTGCACCCAATGCTTCCCGCAGTGGGCGGGCAAGGGGCACGCAGCGCACAGCACCCAGGAGCAGGGCACCTGGGTCCCGCTCCACACTGTCCAGAAGCCGGTCCAGTGTGCGCTCTGAGCCGGCCAGCAGGCGGCGCAGGTCGTAGTTCTGCTTGTGTGCAAAGATGCGGGCCACGCTGGCACGGGT